GAAAAATAAAATAAAGCCTGCGTAAAGAGTTTTCAAGGAGAAAGAACCCATGGTGGGGTCAATTTCGTGATTCTTATCTGACAAAAAATTACTGAAAACTAGACACTATAGTTTTTCGAATATAATGTNTACCGCTGGCGGTCCTAACTGATGCAACTCGAGCGATGCCGTCACTCCCAAGAAACACTTCGATGATCACACCCAGCGGCCATCGTGCATAAGCGACAGCGTCGTCCATGAGGAGAACCANGAACTTACATGTGTTTTGACAAATTTTTGAGGGAGAAAAATAAAATAAAGCCTGCGTAAAGAGTTTTCAAGGAGAAAGAACCCATGGTGGGGTCAATTTCGTGATTCTTATCTGACAAAAAATTACTGAAAACTAGACACTATAGTTTTTCGAATATAATGTATTTCGTTCCTGCCTAATATTCCGGTCACAGACCCAGTTCCTGCTACGGACCTATCTTCTGAGACTTTCCATGCCTTATGAAGTACAAGTGTAAATTGTAAATATCAATATTAATGATTTTTGGATAGCCAAAGAGTTTTTTTCTTCGATTATTGACGATTTTTATTCTCTTAGGTTGTGGAAATAGATTTTACTTATAAATCGACTCAAAAAAATTGGAATTAAAGTGCCAGCTTGAATCGGGTCTCTGACACTATGACTGTTAATATTAATTAATTAATTAATTAATTGGAATTAAAGTACCAGCTTGAATCGTGTTTCTGATACTGTGACTGTTAATATTAAAAAACAGGAATCCGGGATTTTTTCCTATTTCGTTTAGGGAGAAGACCCACATGACCGCGGCAACGTTGCACTCTATTGTCCTTGTCTTGTCTATGCAAGTGAACGGTACTGGGCCTTGTCTTCTGAAACGCGCCTCACTGTTGCTGTACCTTCTCTGACTCCCGGGGCTGGGGTGCCGATGGCTTAGAGAGAAACTTGGAGATTTCCGGCAGCAGGGGGACAGTGGAATAATTTTTGTCCCTGTTGTGAGCCTTCCTTTCCGAGTAAATTGTCATAAAATGACGAATATTACTTATTCATCTTGAAAAATTTCTGTTGTAAGGGATCTTGCAAGTGGCCATCGAAAATACTGAATATTCCATCCTCTCTCTGAAGGTATCCCATTTGACCAATATATGTGTGATTTTGCCGATTTTTGATACGAATTTGAATCTTCAAAATTTCAATTTCGTTTAGGCTTTCTATATTTTTCTTTTAACATTCAAAACACCTAGTCTGTAGAAATTCAATAGAATTGTCTAGCCAACCGGACACAACCCATTTCACCCCATACGTCAAGCAAAAACATCGGTTTTCGTGTTTGTGGCTTTGAAGTGCAAAACAATTATCATCGCATTCCAACTTTTTTTTTCAAAATGTTCATCAGATTCCATAGAATAAAAGTTAGTATTCGATCATCTCAATCCGATCATGGGATTTTTTTTCAATTCACCAATTTTGTTAGTTTTTGTATACCATAAAAAAGATATAAAAAATGATGTCATATACCAGAAATAAATTTGTTTTTGGGTAGATGAAATATCATTAATCTCGTCATTTTTCAGTAGTAAATATCTTTTCTTTACTATTTCGATGTTCATGCACTCAAAACAATAATTTTTCGATATGGTATTAATCTAGTCAGCGGGCGAAAAAAAGGGGCTAGACGTCGAATTTTCTTCACGAGTCACCAATTTTTATGATTTTCTTTTCAAATTGCGCGGAATCAATTTTTGAAACCATGCGATATAAAGCCAAGCGGGGCTTTTGATTATTTTTTTTTTCAGTCACTTCAGATGCACATATGTCGGAAAATATGGAGAAGTTATCGAGATATGATGCGGGAAAAAGACGCGGGATTTCCTAATGAACGAAATAGTTTTTTATTTTTTTCGCCAAGTGAAATAGTTATCGAGATATCGATATTTGTTCATCGGAGCGCGCTACGAACTCAGTGCGTCTCGGTCTCTGATGAAGAGCATCGAGAGACAACGCGCTAGCCATGAGAGTGATAGGGAGACAACTATACAAGTTCCCACATGAGACAGAGATGCACTTTGTTCTCACCGTGCTCCGGTAAACAAATATCAATATCTCGATAACTATTTCACTTGGCGAAAAAAATTAAAACCCATTTTGTTCGTTGGGAAATCCCGCGTCTTTTTCCCGTATCATGTCTCAATAACTTCTCAATAGTTTCCGAGATATATTTGCATCTAAAGTGACTGAAAAAAAAATCAAAAGCCCAGCTTGGCTTTAGATCTCATGTTTTCAGAAATTGAGTCTGAGCAGTTTGAAAAAAAAATTATCAAAATTGGTGACTTCTAAAGGAAAGTCAACATCTAGTCCCATTTTTTTCGCCCGCCGACTGGACTATATGCGAAAACGACGTTCCCACTTTGACGGACGGGGTAGAATGGGTTGGGTCCAATTTTTTGTACTTTTCTCACGATATATCAAAAGTCGATTGATAGCTATTTCATCAACCAAAGGCTTCAATTGCACCGAGGTACCCCCACCTCGATGATGGAGGTAAATGGCCTCTTTCACCACTCTTTGCTGTTAACAACGGCCTGCCTTACCCCCCCTCTGCCGCCTGAAGCGCTTTCGGAACTCGACAATTACCATATAGATGGTTTCTGTCCTCTCTTTTTTTTTATTTCTAAAACAATAACTAATCAAATACGTTATCTTAAAATCGGAAGTTATTGACTAGTAATAAAGATGTATCTGGCCGATAGCTAGTACTTTTTTTTTCAATAGAATTTATAAAGTAATTAAAATTCCTAACTCAGGCCGTCATCGAGCAAAGAAGAACAAACTTCAGAAAATGTACAAATAATTCAAAACTGAAAAAAACCTATTGATCAAAAATTTAAAAGTTTGACGGTTTGCTCACGATTTGTGAAAAAGGTCTCTTGGATGGCTTTTTATTTTTATTGTTTTTTTGTCAGCGTAAAATCAGCGTAATGTCAGCGTAAAGTGCGCGCATTTGCATTGTTCCGCTTTTCCATCGAAGTGATCTGTACATCTCCATGGCATCGACTCCGGAGAATCGCGCCAAAAGGCTATTACTCGAAAGACTGTATTATAGTGATAGTGAAGATAGTGATGATGATAATTGGTATTATTCAGATAGTGGTGACGAATATTGGGATGAATATTCTTTTTCAGACGACAAGGAACTGACATTTCGTGAGAAGCTGATGAATCTCTTCATTCATTTGAAGTTAGAACAATCGAAAGGAACGGCAATACTCAAACTATTGCGGACTCATCGATGCTTTCAAGATCTACCTGCGAATCACCGGACATTGGTTCAGACTCCACGGAAAAAGCTTCAACTTCGTACAGTATCTCCAGGAGAATATTTACATCTTGGAATCGCCACTCAGTTTGAAATGACGTTAAAGGCTATCATACCCTAGGTGGTATGATAGTCGAATTAAAAATCACGAATAATCGATAAAAAACAAACACAAAAAAAGGGATTAAATAATTCGAACACAGAATTGGATGGGAAATAGCCGTTACGGCATAAAAAACCCAGATTTATTGATTAGGATATAATGGATCGATTACAACTGCGAATGACACTTGTTTTACATACACATACACACACGCTACCACACTGCAATGTCTGTCCTAAGAACACTACGATGTGAACTGTCGGATGCAGCTATGGACATGTACACACACACACGCGTGTCGATAATGCGAAAGATAGGTTATGGAATCACATGTTGTGTGANTTTTTTTTTTTTACGGCCTCGGAGTCCCTTTTTCGGGTCCCATTCGGCACTCTATCCAACCCTATGCATGCGGCTGTGGATTCTACACTGTACCGCATTTGCACTTCTATAGAACATAGAAGTAGCATGGGGAAACCACAGAAAACCCATGCCGGTACAGGCGGTTCCTCTATTAGCAACCTCCTGCTCGCCGGAGCCTTCCGTTGAAAAATTCGGTTCCACGGGGAATCGAACTCACAACCTTTCGCACACTAGACTTGCGTCTAATCCACTTGGCCACCGACGTCGGTGAGGAGAACCACTGAACCGAGTTTCAGTTCAGCAGTAGACGTAAGCCATTTTTGGCGAGTTTGGAGTTCATGTAGATATTCCGTGTGCCATTTATTCCAAAAGTCCTGTTTGGCCTTGGTGATGAAGTTATAAGTGGACAGGCGATTATCTGAAACTGACGAGAACGATTTTCCGGGTAAGGCATTGAATGGTCGGCCTATCAACAGGTGGGCTGAAGTGATAGCCAAGGGATCATTGGGATCAGCCGAAAGAGTACACAACGGTCGAGAGTTTAAGATCGCTTCAATTTCGATCAGCAAAGTATTAAGTTGCTCATAAGTGAGTCTTTGATCCTTTAAAACGCGTTTCAAATGATGTTTGAAACTCTTTACAGGTGCTTCCCAAATCCCTCCAAAGTGGGGAGACAATGATGGATTAACATGCCATGTGATGCGTTTAGATAGAGCGTAATTGCCCACGCTTTCCGCGAATTCGGGGCTACAAAGAAGATTATACAATTCGCTGAGCTCTTTACTAGCTCCAACGAAATTTGTACCGTTGTCGGAGTAAACCTGTTCAGGAACACCTCTGCGGCCGGTGAACCTGCGAAAGGCTGCCAAAAATCCTTGTGAGGAAAGATTAGTCGCTAATTCAATGTGAACAGCCTTACAGACCATACACATGAATACATATCCGTAAGACTTGAGAAACGATCTGTTACGATCTTTCTTCTCTTTGATGAGGATTGGACCAAAAAAATCAACACCTGTCTGCGAGAAAGCGGGTGCTTCGTTCACTCTAGATCTAGGCAAATCTGCCATCTGAGCATGAACTACCGTTGGTTTCTGACGAATGCATTCGATACAACGACGAACAATCCTTCTGATCTGATCCTTACCGTTCAGAATCCAGAATTTGGATCGAATCGCGTAGAGAGTACTTTGAATCCCTGCATGGAGATTCTAATGATGAGCCCGATGGATGATCATGTCGGTAACCGGATGTTTACTAGGCAACAAGATTGGGCGTTTCTGATTGTACGATAGTTCGGACTTCTTGAGCCGACCGCCCACACGAAGCAGTCCCTTGTCGTCTACGAAGGGATGCAATTGATCAAACGAGGTTCCCTTTGCTGATGAACGAGTTGAGTTCGTCGAAGATTGATTAGTTGTGAGCCTTCGTACTTCAACAGAGAAACGCTCACGCTGAACCATCATGACGATTTGATGCTCAGCCTCGTAGAGTTCTTTGTTAGTGAGTGGACGGGTCCAAGGGGTTTGTGGATACTTCCATCGCCGGATGTACGCACCGACTCTTACAAATCGTTTGAAATCAGAGAACTGAGAATACAGAGAGTCACATGAAGTGGTAGTGATCAGGCAGAGATTCCTTTTCAGTCCTTGCACTAGAACTGCCGAGGGTACGATGAATTGTGACCATTCAGGTTCTCCGAGAATTAGCCATCTAGGACCTGAAGACCAGAGAGAGTTATTGACAAATTCAGACGGAAGTTGTCCTCGAGATAACGCGTCAGCTGGATTGTCTTCGGACCGGACATGTCTCCAACTAACTTGATCACCTAAAGTTTGAATATCTGCCACTCTGTTTGATTCGAAAGTTCTCAGAAGATGAGGAGCTTTCTTAAGCCAACAAAGAACGATGGTGGAGTCAGACCATAAGTATGCCTGATCGATGGGGAAGTCGAACTGAGCCGTAGTCTCCACATATAATTTTTTGAGGATGGTCGCTGCGCAGAGTTCCAACCTAGGGATTGTAACTCCGCGCAATGGTGTTACCCGAGATTTACTACATATCAGTCTGATCAAAACCTCACCTTGAGGATTGCTGGATTTGAGATACAGACAAGCTCCATATCCGTGACTGGAGGCGTCACTAAATCCATGGCTTTCGATGCGAGAGGGATTTTGGATTAAAATCTGTCGAGGAACCGAGACTTCACGTATTTTTGGCAACTGGAGTACTAGCGACGTCCATTTTGTGTGGATATCTTGAGGAAGAGGCTCATCCCATGTAATCTTTGCCTTCCAGCAGTCTTGAATTAAGACTTTGGCGAATAAAGTCACGGGTCCTAAGAGTCCTAGAAGATCGAAGATCTTTGATACTTCTGAGAGGAGTTTGGTTGCAACAACGTTAGGATCAACTTGAGTCAAAGTGTACTGCAACAGATCACCTTGGGCATCCCATATGATACCCAAAGTCTTCTGGACTGGATCATCTTTGATCAAGCAATCCAAATCAAAGAAGCTTTTATCAATCTTATCCAAAGCTGAACGATGATTGGATGACCATTGGCGGATGACGAAACCGCCGCGAGAGAGCAATGCGATCATATCATCTCTAATGGTTATAAGTTCGTCTAGAGAATCTGCTCCGGAGATGAAATCGTCAACATAAAAATCACGAAGTAGAAGTTTACTGGCACGTGGGAAGTTCTGTGCCTCATCACGCGCAAGTTGTTGTATGGTACGAATAGCTAAGAACGGAGCAGCGGCTGTACCAAACGTCACGGTGTTGAGTTGAAAAGTTCTGAGTTTGCCTTGGTAAGGCCACAGAACCCTTTGAAATTGTCTGTCGTCAAGATGAATTAGAATCTGGCGGTACATTTTCTCAATGTCCGCTGTGATGACGTAGCGATGCGTGCGAAACCGAAGGACTTGTTCAAAGATAGTATTCTGGATTGTGGGGCCGACCAGAAGAGTATCATTAAGCGAGATGCCAGTAGACGTTTTAGCCGAGGCATCGAACACTACACGAACCTTGGTAGTTTCACTGGACTCCTTGATAACGGCGTGATGAGGAAGGTAATAGCCATCTTCAATCTCATCGCAAAGAGTCATATGACCAAGGGAGATGTACTCCTCCATCACTCTGGTGTATTCAGATTTCAATGAAGGATTTGATGAAAGTTTTCGATCCAAGGAAGAAAAACGTTTGAGCGCTTGCGAACGAGATTCGCCAAGATTGAATTTTGAATCTCTGAATGGAAGACGAACTATGTACCTACCAGTAACATCTTATTTGGTATGTGTAACATAGTGTTGTTCACAAGAAATTTCGTCACGAGATCGAACGGGTTCGTGATCGAAGTCTTCGATAATCCAGAAACGCTCGATGAGCTTATCTAATTTGACGACGTTGCAAGGAGAGGTTGTTGAGGCCGATAACAGTTCAGAGCCTCCAGCGATGATCCATCCTAACCGAGTCTTCTGTAAGACAATGGTAGAATCTCCATGCGACAATTTGATTTGTCCAATGGACAAAACTGACAACATGGTGTTGGAGGCTAGCAAAAGATCGATTGATCTTGGCAGATGAAACTGAGGATCCGCGAGTTGAAGATTCTTCGGGATGTCGAACTGATGTCGAGGGAAAACGTCACTAGGTACGACATCAGCTATCTTGGGAACAATCAAAAAGTTTGATTGTTGTTCAAAGTTATTGTAACTTGAATGAAGAGTCACCTGAACATATTGGTTCGAAACAGTGCACAGACCGTCCACTGCTCCAATGTTCACCGAACAATTAGTTTTACGCAATTGCAGGGTATTCGCGAATCGCTCTGTGACTAAATTCACTGTAGAACAAGAATCTAACAGTGCGCGTGCCGCGACGCAATTGCCTCGCTTGTGTTCAGTCTTGACAACCGCCGTTGTCATTAACTGTGAATCCGAGGAGAAGGCGACGGATGTGTATGTCTGATGAGCTAGTCATTGCTGACTGCTGGCAGATGCTATGGCATCCTTCTCATGCAGGAGTATGTGATGTTCGCATTTGCACCTTTTGCAGACCTGACCACTCCTGCAAGGGTATGGATGGGCCCACAGACAATTTTTGCATGCTTTGATGCCTTTAATGAACTTCCAACGATTCTGGACACTGAGATCGTTGAAGGTTGGGCACATGTACAATCGATGAGCTTTACTGCATTTGGGGCAGCTCATCGACGGGGATTTCTAAGAGGATGAATCCGATTTGGAAGACGTGACGAACGTCTGGGGAGTCTTCCTTGAGAATTTGTTGGCCGATTGAGGGAGACTTTCTCCTGGCCTTTTCTTTGGGTTGGGGTTACGATTGGACATCGCTGCGGAGTCGAAAGCTTGCTGCTTGAAGATAGCAGTCTGGATGAACTTGAACAGATCATCCAACTTTGGCAATTCATCCATGTTAAGCTTGTCTTGCCATCGACTTCTCAGTGTCTGGGGCAGACAACGTTCGATGATGCGAACGAGTAAGTTTTCCCCAGGTGGAGCACCGATTCCCTCCAGGATGTGAAGGTGCTGACGAGCCTTATCCAGAAGTGAGGATAGGTCATCAGCTAATACCTGGGTGAACTGAGGGAGGTCGCTTAGAGCATTCAAGTGTTTTACGGCCACAATGCGCTTGTGGTCGTAGAATTCCAGGAGAGATTTCTAAGCTTTTGAATAATATTGGTCACTGGGATCATATTGGCTGATTTTAGCCAAAGCTGGCCCAGTGAGAGAGTCAAAAAGTTGACTGCATTTCACTGCATCAGAAATGTCGGTCCGGGAATGAACGAGAGCGATGAACTCATTTTTGTACATCGCCCAATTTTCTTGTTTTCCGTCGAACATGGGGATCTTTATTTTAGGGAGCTTTGGCAGTTCTTGCCGCTCCGTGAGAGTGATGTTATTCGGATTCAAGGTCGAGTTGAATACCGAATCCCTTTGTTGGAGTTTGGAAATGGCGCCGGCTGCCTGGTAGTATCTAGATTCGGTCTCTAGGAAACTCCCTGCTAGGCGATTGCCGCTTTGAAGTGAGTTTAATTCCTCATAGTACTTCATCGAAGTATCGAACAATGTCGACATTTTCTCCGCACGTATCTTGGCGTTTGCGGGATCGAAATGTGTACTCTCGAGGTATTGCTGCAGCCTCCCCAACTGGAGATCGAAGAAATTCAATTTCTGTTCGAGATACGCGACGCGTCTTTTCTCCTCTGAAGAGAGACTCATTTTTATGGAAAAAATGAGACTCAGAAGATATCGACAAATTACGATACGATGGGGTAACGGCTCGATGAACTAGTTTACCGATCAAATGAAAAAACCGACTAAATCCACGTAGATCACGTTGGATTTAGATAAACTTCGATAAATTAGCGAAAATCTCGTAAACTAGGGCCGTAAACAAGAAAAGGGAAACGATCTATCAAATTGGTTAAACAACCGATGAATAACTATAATGAAAATCAAACGAGAGAGAAAACAAAAAATAATGACGATATAAGAATAGTCAAATGACTGGATTCAATGTAACAACTCAAAAAAAAGAAAACAAGAGAAAAAGAAAAAGAAAATTCAAGAAGATGAATATCTAAAAATAATTGAATGAAATTAATTAAATGTGCAAAGAAATAGATATAGATAAATGTATGAACTTATATTTGCACGTCTCACGATGTTGAACCAGCTGAGCGGTGAAGGTTCCTGGAACGGGAGTGACGATGACGATGAAACGATAAGACGTCGGACTTGAAGACACGTCGACGAAGTTTTGGATAGTTTTTAATTTTTCAAACTGTTTTTAGTAACTTTTTTGTTCACCTTGAACACTCTTTCACACGCGTCACTCGCAGTTTTGATTAGAGGTTAAAATTCAAACCTCACAGGAGGTACCATGAAATGACGTTAAAGGCTATCATACCCTAGGTGGTATGATAGTCGAATTAAAAATCACGAATAATCGATAAAAAACAAACACAAAAAAAAGGGATTAAATAATTCGAACACAGAATTGGATGGGAAAAAGCCGTTACGGCATAAAAAACCCAGATTTATTGATTAGGATATAATGGATCGATTACAACTGCGAATGACACTTGTTTTACATACACATACACACACGCTACCATACTGCAATGTCTGTCCTAAGAACACTACGATGTGAACTGTCGGACGCAGCTATGGACATGTACACACACACACGCGTGTCGATAATGCGAAAGATAGGTTATGGAATCACACGTTGTGTGATTCCGAGACGATATTCGTAATTAAATTACGAAGATATGAGGTGGCCATTGCACCACCTCCGATACGTTTTTAGATGAAGTGGCCGTTCGCCACTTCAAAAAAGATGTAGAGGAAGCGGCACGTTGCACCACTTCCAATACGATTGGCGTTGCCGTTCACTACACCGTTAATCGGAATTGATTCTTACAGATTTTGCGAGGTAACTATATAATTCTTGAGGAGAATTATTTTTGAGATGTTTTGGACTGATAGATTGACACTTTGAATTGATAATAACACTGATTTCACACGAAAGATCGATTGACAAACTTAAGTGCTCGAATAGCGTCGGTTTTGACCGTTACACGTGGTGTAATAGACTAGGTTGGGTTAGCGTCGGTTGGGGGCTTCCCCGCGAGAAACTAGCGAGTCGAGTGGGGGAAAAATTCGCAGCGGTGGCGTGGCGAACTAGATAAAAACTAGCATTCAGCTCGCGCGTAGGTTTGAACGAGTTACGATGTAACACAGTTGAAGGATTATCTAACCCGCATTGCTTCTCCCATACCCGACAATCTTGATATAAATATTAGCATGGATGGTGCGAATATGGACCATCAGGGTAGCATTAATATGAGGCCTATCCAGATACGAGTTGCGAACATAGAAAAATCCACGCCCATTATTGTTGGAATTTACCGTGCAACGAAAAAACCGGCGTCTGCGCGATATTTTTTTGCTGATATCGTTGTCGAGTGGAAAAAAATTAATGAAGAAGGAGGAATTCAAATCGGTATCAAAACCATAAAGTTGTCTATCCGATGTATAATTGCTGATGCACCAGCCAGAGCTTTTGTTCTGAACCATGTAGGGCACACTGCCCATAACAATTCTTCGAAATTTAAAAGAGACGGAACTCTACGAACAGATGCCGATTATGCTGCTATGATAGATGAAAGATGATAGATGAAAGATGATCATGGTCAAAGTTTTCTGACAAAGCTAGGAATCGGGTTGGTATAGCAAGTACCTTTTGAGTGGATGCACTTGTCTTTGTTGGGATCAGTCAAGCGCTAGATAAAGGCAACAGTCCCCTTCAATCGACGCTTCGAGGCTTACGTTAGGCTTGACAATACACGCATCGATATAATAAATAAGCGAATGCGCCTTATAAATGAGTATACACCCCGGGAATTCTCAAGACGACCCATTGATATTACACAATACCATCGTATGAAAGCCACAGAATTACGCCAATTAATTTTATATATTGGATCTGTGATAAACTGCGGGGTTTATAAAAAAAATACTTTTGATCATTATTTGATGTATCATATCGCGCTACGTATCCTGGCGTCTAAAGAACCTGAACCTCAATCTTTATCTTTTTCACGGGATTTGCTGAAGATGTGGGTAGAAGGATGCGCAAATTTACCCAATTTGGGAGTTTCAAATGTCAGAGCTCAACCTGGAATTAGAGTATGCAGATTTGAGCGACATTATTATCAAATGCTATCCGACACCATACTGGCCTCTACCTGAAGATAAGAGTTTTCCACCTGTCGATCCATTACCTGGAATATTCAGTGCAACAACCATGTTATAAGCACACATCATCAGATCGGTAAGTCAGAGTAATTGTGCAAAGATACATACAATCATTCAAAATATACCTGAATGAATTCATTTAAGTTTTCGCAGTTGCGGGCTAGTGGAGCTAGATCTCTTATAAAGTCCCTGCACGAAAATGGTATTCGGTTCCAACCTGAAATCTCCCCACTCCCATGTTAAAAGGTATGGCAGGTACGAATGGGGCGGTGGTGGGGGTGAATCCGAAGACCATTTTCTTATGGCGAGAACTATACATTAATAGTCCAGTCAGCAGGCGAAAAAAATGG